TAAAGCAGAGGTCCTGACTACTTTTGGTCAGTACAGATTCATGGCACCAGAAGGAATTGCGTTTTGCTGTATGCTGCTTGTACTTGAATACACCTTGTCCTTTGGTGTTAAAACTCTGAACCAGAAAACTGAGGTTTTACATCTTTAATCCCTTGACTGTTTTTTGTCAGGACAATTCATTTAAACACCTCGCAGAAATGCCAGAATAGATCAGGATACTCTGCTTCCCAGCTTCCCCCTGGGCTCCAGCTGAGTACTTCCTTCTACTCCACGCACTGCTAGAGACATTGCACTGGAGTAGTGAGTAGTGTAACTACTTGGTGCAGTGTGCAGGGCCGTTGGAGAAGGTGGTTAACAGAATTTAAGGATGCTGTTTCGATGCTCAGTAAGAAAAAACTGCGAGGTACCATGCACATATTCATTATCCTTCACAGGGACAAAGAGGTTGGTATGTCTTGCTGAGCTGCCTGGCTTAAATTGAGATGTGGAAATCTGTCCAACAGGAAAGACTATCCAACAGGCTAAGGAGGAAAGGAGGGGGCAAAGTGATTTACTAATGTAATTCCATCCTGGCAAAGCACCTTTATCTTCTGTAAATGTTGAACACGGGAGAATGTTGAGGATTCAGAAATGCTGTTCTGCAACCTAATTCCTTGTAAACTTTCCCGTGAAACTGATGGCTTTTTTCCAGTAATTCAGCTCTATTTGGAATTTAAATGTGTTTGGTTTTTTTTTTTCATTTGGTGCTATGTGAATAATGAAGTCTGGTCGCCGTAGATTGCTGCCTACTTAAACACTTTTATGTGGAACAGATAAAGATACCAAGTTGTTCCATGTATGATCGGTGTTAGAAGATGGTAAAGATTTAATTAGAGACCCATTTGAGTAGTGCTTGGATTTCAAATGTCAAACTTCATTAGTTACTTTAGTGAGAGGGGGAAAAAAACCCCACTAGATGCTTCAAGAGGTCAAGGATAATCCCAAAGTATGCAAAAGTAATTGCTGTTCAGGAATGGATTTTTTTTTTTCCAGTTGTAATTGCAATCTCATTTTCTGTGATTGAAAGGAATTGGTCCCTGCATTTAGATTTCTTCTAAATGAAGTAATGGTAACCTCAGATGAACATGTTAACTCAAGGATGGTTCAGTAAAGCTGGTACATCATGGACTCTTTCTGCCCATTAAGTGCCCAAGTGTTCGACAGCTGATGCCTTCAAGAATCAGTCTGGAGGAAATCAAATCGTCCATCCAGATGCATAATAAAGATTTTATGGCTTTATAGAAACCATTGCCAAGATATCAACTGTTCTGATAAAATACTTTTTAAACCAGAGCAGATTAGAGAACTCTGAAAACCTTTTTCCTTCCTTTCTTCTTCCCTTCTGCTGAGACTTAGACTGTTTGACCGCACGCTCCTCTCTTGTGAATAAATCCCGTTTTTCCGTGATCTGCCATTCCAGGTCAAGAAACACGTGCGCAGTTTCCATTCCGAAAAGATTTACCAGTGTACGGAATGCGACAAGGCTTTCTGCCGTCCTGACAAGCTGCGGCTCCATATGTTGCGACACTCGGACCGCAAAGATTTCCTGTGCTCCACGTGTGGCAAGCAGTTCAAGGTGAGAGAACTCTTGACGTGATTTTTAACACCATTCTTTACCCTCCTTCGAGGAGATAAGCTCATGTTCCCAAAGGTGGAAGCAACTAACGTGTGAACATGCTAGACTTGGCTGCAAGTTTTATGCCCTGCTGTGTCGTGTGTGAGCTGGGATGTTCGTTTCTGATGGACAAGGGCCAAGATCCACCCCAGTATGCCCTGCTGTAACAGGATCTCTCATCCATCAGATCTTATTTCTAATAACTTAATGGCAAAGGCAGTTTTGTCTGCTCGTTAAGAACTGGGTCATTATACAACTCAGTTGCCCAGTGCTTGGGTCGTGTTGCTTTTATCAGTTTAGTTAAGAAAACTTCTTGCTGATATTCCTCGCCAGCGTGCCTGTGTCCATGGGACGCATCTTGTCAGCATAGGACATCCAGATGCCCTTCCAGATCTTCCAGTACAGATGGAGCAGACTGTGAGCCAAGTGAACTGTGGTGGCAGCAGCCTTCTCCTTGTCACTTCGTTTCTTATGGGATACTGAGGAACTGGATGCTTTCGGGTGAAGTACGTTCTAGACAGTGTGTGTCCAGAAGGGCTGGATTGCATCTGGGCAGTAGGTTCAATACTGTTGTAGGACTTGAGATCCTTCTCAGTGAAGGGCATTATTTGATGCAAGTTTCCAGCTGCGTGGAGTTGAGCACTAGTAATTTAGATAAAATCAAAAGAAAGTCAGAATGGGAGGGGTTTGTTCTCACAGAGGCTGCTAAACTAGCACTAATTTAGCTCCTGCTTTTGTAGCTGAGCACCTTCAGCTTGGTTTGAAGGATAAACCCAAGCCCAAAGGGTTCCTGCCGAGCTGTCCGACACTGAACACACGACTCCCATCTCACAGCAGCACTGGAGAGGAAAAGCCAGAGATCTCTGAACAACTTGGATTGCGACTCTTCCTTGTGACTGGTAGTAAGGCAGCAAGCGATGCTGACATCTTTCTCCCCGATTTGCTCTTGCCCTAGAGGAAAGACAAGCTGCGAGAGCACATGCAGAGGATGCACAACCCGGAGAGGGAGGCCAAGAAAGCTGATCGAATCAGCCGCTCCAAAACGTTCAAGCCTCGGATAGCTTCTACCGACTACGAAAGCTTCATGTTCAAGTGCCGGCTCTGCATGATGGGTTTCCGCCGGAGGGGCATGCTGGTGAGAGTGTGCTGTAGCTTCTCTTAGACTTTCTGTGCTCAGTTTTGAGTAGTTAAGGAATAAAGGTGGAGTACTGGTGGTTTGAACACAAGGATGCTGTGAAACTGGGAGAATTTTGTAGCTGAGTTGAGATTATGTGTCTCTTTTTAAACCTGTGTCTTGTCTTTTCAGGAAACGCGTGCCTTTGCGTATTTCATTGCCTGTGTTGTGTGTCTGCTTGTCACCACCATATCTTAACTAAGTAATTCTGATTGATGTGTAATCTAATTAGCAGAATGTAAGATTAATATATTGCCTAGTTCAGCCTTACTGCCTCAGTTATCCTGTCTTTCCTATTTTTTTTCTTTTTGTTTCTCCCCCTTCTTGAGGGGCCTCTCCTGGCCATGCCCTGTAACTGCCACTGTGTAAAGGGTGTTACACAGCAAGAGATCTTATTTGCAAATATTTCATTAGAATTATTATCTCTGCTAGCAAAGGCCTCCTGGGCCAGAAGTCCTTTACACAACCTTACTCTCAGCTGGAAGAGAGTTCTAGCAAGCTATTTTACCCCTTCCCTCCTCATTTTGATTAGAGAAACTGTAAATGAGATCGAGCAAGACCGTGTCTACCTTCAGCAGCTGACTGTGAATGCACAATGACCTTTGCAGCAGCAAATGCTTCCGGTGCTGCTGGCTAGCATCATTATAGTTTAGGTTTGGCTGTTAGCCATGTCTAGGAGAAGCAGCAATAGCTTGGCTCCCATCTGTAATATGCTCTCTTGTTCTTGGTTTCTTTCTCCTAAGGTGAATCATTTATCAAAGAGACATCCAGACATGAAAATAGAAGAGGTGCCAGAGCTCACATTGCCCATCATCAAACCCAACAGAGATTACTTCTGTCAGTACTGTGATAAGGTATGTAAGGAAGTCACCCTTCGGAGGGTAGCTCAGTCCTAGACCTGTATGCCACCAATTTGTCTCTGCATGGAAACATCTGGCAGGGTTTGTACCTTTTTTGAGGTGCTTGCCAGCAATGTTTCTGGAGCACTATCCAAAAGAAATTAAGATGAAATGCATTTAGGCCAAGGCAGCTGAATGCTAACTGAAAACTGCAGTTCTCCTTTTCTGCTGTCTTTGGAGTTGGTAAAACTTAAATGCTGTGATCCAGCAACCAGTCACCCACCCTTAGTCCTGTATCACTTTTTAGCAACCCAGGACTAGGTATCCTATCTGTCTATAATTCCTGAACACTAATTCCTTTTGGTTTCTGTATCGCTTCAAAAAGTTAGTCTTTAACTCCTTTTATTTTAAGCCATTTACTTGGTCACATGCCAGTAATTCTCTGTTCAGTGGAGCCTGAAGCTGCTTCTGCGCTGCCTTGGGGTTCCTGTTCTTACTTCCTGCCTTTCACTTTTCATGCATGTGGACCTTCATTTACCAGGGAGTGTGTTTTGACTGACTGTTCTTATCTTCAGTGTATTCTTCCATGATGCCTCCTTTTTGTTTAAAGGGCAAAAAAACCCCGGATAGTTCTAAATAATGTATGGAGTGATGCCTCCTTTTTGTTTAAAGGGCAAAAAAAAACCCGGATAGCTCTAAATAATGTTATGGAGCGTTCATTTGTTGATGTATCTAAAAAGAATTGAAAAATATGCTGATATTTAACTGAAGGCTGTTAACAGTTTGATGTTTTGTGTGAGAGTGGAGGCATCACCCCTCATGCCAAATTACCATCAAAGAAATTACAGCTTTGGTGATCAGTGGCTTCTCTGATATTTGACCTTAAAGCACGAGGCAAAAAAAAACGTTTTCCTCTTACTTTCTTGTCCTGCTCTGATGCTTCGCTCTGATATTTGACCTTAAAGCACGAGGCAAAGAAAACGTTTTTCTCTTACTTTCTTGTCCTGCTCTGATGCTTCATTCTGCCATACAACATGTTCTCAAATGCCTCCTGCATGCTGTGCAAGGAGTTGCTTTCACAGGCTGATTAAACACTGGAATGTGTGTGTATGTATATTCATGCATCGTGTTGTAACTGGGGATTTAACCAAACATATAGTCTAAAGCAATGTGCAGACCTTCCAGACAAAGACAACTGGTAGCTGTTTCGTGTTGTAACTGGGGATTTAACCAAACATAGTCTAAAGCAACGTGCAGACCTTCCAGACAAAGATAACTGGTGTTCTGCACAGACATCAGGATTACACAGTTTTCATTCCAAATCTTTGCCCTGCAGGTGTACAAGAGCGCCAGCAAACGCAAAGCACACATCCTGAAGAACCATCCTGGTGCTGAGCTACCTCCAAGCATCCGGAAGCTGCGCCCTGCGGGCCCAGGAGAGCCGGATCCCATGCTGAGCACCCACACGCAGCTGACGGGCACTATAGCCACCCCTCCGGTCTGCTGCCCTCACTGTTCCAAGCAGTACAGCAGTAAGGTGCGGGGTTGTCTCAGCCTCAGAAAACAGCGATCCCTGGTGATGCTCTTTCACCACGGTCTCTCTCATCTGTCAGTCCACGAGCAGAGCTCTTTCATTCTCAGTCAGAGCGCTGGATTCAGGCTGACAACACAGGCGCAGCCTGCTTATTTCATGGCAAAAAGGCTCTCTAAATAGAGGGCATGAGCGTGAAAGAAGTAGTGGAAATGTTATTAGAGTGCTGTCACAAACGGAAAAGCTTGGAAACTGCTCCCTGACAGTGACAAGGCAGAGGAGTAGGGAAGCAAAATGCAGAAAAAGGTGACCTCTGGAAAAAGTCCTCAAAATATTTGGCCGTGTTGGGGTAAAAAGCTTAGAGTGTGATGTTTGGGGTGATATTTCAGAATCAGGCAGCTGTAATCAGCAGCAACTTTGTGATCCTTGTTTCCTTCTTGCTGACCAGAGCACCCCACAGTGTGAACCTTGATGCTGCCTTACTGAGGGAAACCTAACAGCTGTTAGTCCACAGGGCTGTTCTAGTTTCAGTTGGCACGAAGCAGAGTTGCTGACTACCTTTCTAATGCTCTTCTGCATCTCTCTCTAGACAAAGATGGTCCAGCACATTCGCAAGAAGCACCCGGAGTTTGCTCAGCTGCCCAACACAATACACACCCCGCTGGCAACGGCTGTCATCAGTTCCACTCCTGCAGTTCTGACCACTGACAGCACTACGGGAGAGACTGTTGTGGTAAGGGTTCCAGAGGCGTTAGCTCAGGCCAACAGAGGGAAACAAACACAACTGAGGCCTTCTGGTATAGTAGTCTTCATGTTTATTTGGCAGACAAAACTTTAAAGTGTGTGTTAGGACATGATTTGAGATCACTTCTGTTCCTGAAGCTGGGTGTTGTAGTCTTGCTCTGCCAGGAACTATGTATTTCTTTCTGGAACTCCAGGGGTTTGTTTTTTTCCCCCTGTTTCTTTCACTCGGACCCATATGCTACTGACTCCACATGATGCTTTCACATTTACATGCCTAATTAACTCAGGAATACACATCTTGTGGATTTTCACTGGGACTGTTCCCTTGAGGTGCTTGCAGTCCTTGGGATCGAGAGGACATGTTTAACAGTGACCGAGGACTGGATCAAACTGTTCAGAGGAGTCAAAAATCTTTCTGTAATTCTTTGGACAGTGCGGAACTGAGCGATACGAACCTCCAGTGGCTGTTCTCTCCGCTGTTAAGGCATTAGCTGCCGCGGAAGTGAAAGCTGAGACTAGAAAAATCAGTCTTGCATCTTTTAGTGGTGCTGGGACGGTGTGTAGTTATAAAAATCCTATTGACCACAGTTTAAAACTTCCTATTTGAAGACTGAAACTGGATGAAAGACTGTCTTGCTTGAAAATACAGTTGTCAAGAGAAGTACCACTCTGGCAAGTGGAAGAGGGAAGGTAGAATGTGTCCAAGAAGCACTTGTGGACTTGGAAGCCAAGCCAGCTCTTGACAAATGCAGGACTCTTGTTGTCTAATAGAATACTGTGAAGTCCAAAGATTAAAATCACTTTATTACTATTGTGTGTTAAGTTAACCCTTAATGGTCCTGATTAGCATTTAGGCAGAAGGTGCAAGTGGATGATCTCTAGTGACTGCTTATGGCCTCTGTACACATTAAGCTCTTGTAAATAAATGACTGGACCCAAAAGTATCCAATCTGATAGACAATACGTGATGATGGTCTGTATCTCTCTCTACCTGCTCAGACAACGGATCTACTGACACAAGCAATGACGGAGATATCCCAGACCCTCACCACAGACTATCGAACTCCCCAGGGAGATTACCAGCGAATCCAGTACATCCCTGTGTCTCAGGCCACAACTGGCTTGCAGCAGCCTCAGCACATACAGCTGCAGGTTGTTCAAGTGGCCCAGGTGAGTACCTGTTGGGGGACTGGTGTGCTTTTGACCCCTTCTCCGTATCAAGCCTGTGCTTTCTTGGGGCTGTAGTGCTGGGAAGTTTGTTGGAATATCTACAAAAAGTGGTGCAGGCTATTTTTTACAGATAAATTGATACATAATGCTTAGACTTCCTATCATAAGCATTGTGTACTGGGCATAAATAGTCCTGGCAGTCTTGATCAGCTTGCAGGAGACATATCAACACAGTCCTACTTTATTTCTACCCATCTGGGCGCCTTTGCTTGAGTCTGCTCTAGGAAGGTTTTCCAGCAACTGGGAAAGTGGGTCAGCGGGTGACCCGTTTTTGCAGTTGAGGAGACTAATTTGTACTTCTTTGTTCTCAGTGAACCAAAGCCAAAATTTGGAAGTGCAGAAAGCATTTGCTTTATCCTTTGTATCATCTATTAGAATATTCATTCTCTGTGATGCTCAACAGCCTCCTAAAAATAAAAACAGAGTGTAACTAGAGTAACTGAGCTGAGGAAAATAACTCGGGCAGCTGTAAGAAATGGCTGTAGCCTTTAAATCTGTTATCTACTGGGTGAAACTGAAACTACCATGTTTTTGAATCTGAAATTCCGTTCTCTCTGGCCTCTCATTACAAATTAGGTTATGAATTTGGTTAATAAAGGCCTCGGTTAATATTGACTGTGGCTGTTCTAATGATACAAGAGCATGAATACTGAATTAATTATATCAGGATTTGAGACTCGTAATTAAATTGCTCCAATTGGTATCATTAGCAAGTGTTGCTCAAAAAAGCCTTTAATCAGTAAGACTTTGAGCACTTGTCTTGATACAGAGCTGTGTCAAGCTACAGGATTGGATAAGCAGATCTTGAGTATGCATACATTTTATGGAAAGACAGCTACAAAAAAGGATGGTCCAGTGGTTGACAGTAATCCTGGTTTTCAGACCCTTTGGTTTGAGTCCAGCCTTTGCCACAGACAGCTTGTATGACCTTAGGCAAGTCCTTTCCCTTTGATATCACTGAGATGTAACCATCTCAGTGCCATTACATCTGTTAAATGTGCTTTTTTCATCTCCCAGGAGCGCAAAGAGGGTAAACACAGGCTTGAACAGGAGTGCTCCAGGGCCTCACTACGGCTCGTACCTCATTGTTCCACACCTTGTATGACACAAAATGTTTACGTGGCTGCTTCTGCAAAGAATTTGAAGTATAAGCCTCTGCTGTGATTTCTCTTTTATTATTTTATTTTTCTCCAGGCTACCTCACCCCACCAGTCCCAGCACTCCACGGTGGACGTTGGGCAGCTTCATGACCCCCAGACGTACACCCAGCATGCTATCCAGGTGCAGCACATCCAGGTGACAGAGCCATCGCCAGCAACTCAGTCATCACAGGTATTCCACTCTTCTCTTGCAGGAAATGTTTTCCCTACCGGTCTGCTGAGGTGGCAGATGACATGAGCTGATGCAAGAGATAGTCTTCTGGATGTCATTTAAAGGACCATACATGAAATGACTCTCACATGAATATATCTGAGATCATTAAGTAGTTCCTAGGTGTGCTTAGGCTGTATAGGGGTGGATTTTTTGTGGGTTTGTTTGGGTTTTTTTGTTGTGTGGGTTTGTTTTTTTTCCCTAACAGTGTATACAAGGTAGAGGTAAATGGCTGGGAACAGAAAAATTTGCAGCTTGAATCAAGTTAGCCAATTGAAAGATGTAAATGGAAACTGGCATTGCTCAAATATTTGAAGTTCAGATCTTCATGCTGTTGAGTGCTATTTAGCCCCTCATCTCAGTTCTCTGCCGCAGAGAACTGTTGCTTTCCACCTTTGGAAAGCAAGGTCTCTATTTCAGTTTGCCAATCGCTGCTTATTAACCATCGAGTGAAGCAAGCTGGAGAGGGAGGAGAGCTTTGCAGTTCTTGTGCTCAGTATGCTGTAGGACCTGCTGCCTGCCCCTGTGTTTTCCCTTAAGAAGGATATGTTTGTACCAGTACAGAGGCGTGCAATCCCTGGTACACTGAGAACACTTACACCTTTTTGTTTTTCTAGGTT